TTTCAAGCCCCCAAGAACAAAGGTTGGCTTCAACAAAAGCGACGCATTTTATTTCTATTGCCGTTTCCACACACAAGAATAACAGCTTAAAATGAATTTTCAAATGTCTCTAGAAAAACATTAAATTAAAAAAAAAAAAACAAAAAACACACACACACACACATAATTGTCGCCCCCGCGTTGGCACGCTTTCGACTTTGCTCCCCAAATGCCTCTTTTTCTCTCTGTAGACTTTCCCCAATAAATACCAAACCATTTTCAACTTTTTCCTTTCAATTTACCTTCTTCTCTCTACGCATTTACGGCCACATCGAGGCTTGCCTAGGTTTTTCTCGGTCACACAGAGTGTGTGTAAGAGATTAAGGAACGGAAAATGGGCCAGCAATCGTTGATCTACAGCTTCGTCGCACGTGGTACTGTGATCCTGGCCGAGTACACTGAGTTTACCGGCAACTTCACCGGAATCGCCGCCCAGTGCCTCCAGAAACTCCCCGCCACCAACAATAAGTTCACCTACAACTGCGATGGCCACACCTTCAACTACCTCGTCGAGGACGGATTCAGTAAGCGTCTTTTGGTCTACGATCTGTTTTTAGCTCCTTTATTGTTAGATTATGCACTACTTTTCGTTTTTTGTTTTATGTATTTTGTTTTTTGGCTTGAAAATCGGTATTCTGGTATTGTAGAGGACTTCCTCTTTGCTGTGAGGTTTTTCTTCGTGTATTAGGAGTTCAGATCTTAGTTCATTGTGTTTTATTTACCCTGTTTTTCTTAAATTGTGAATTGATTGGTTTTTGTTCAGGATCTGGTAGAAATTGTTAGGAATGAAATTTGGTGTTACTTGATTATATACGCAATGATGTTTCGATAAGTTGAATCTATTATATTAGGACATGATCCAAATATTTTCTATACATAGCCGGTAGCCCATTTCTAATGTTGGGCGAGGAATTAAGCATCACTAATAGTAATTAGTACCACAATGGTTCATAGAAAATTGCACTGCATTTTTTTTACGTGTTAAATCTTGTTTAGGGTTTGATTAATGAATTTGGTTGGGTACTTTACAAAGATAAACATTTGTTTCTGTAGGATCTTTTAGTAACTTTACAAAGATGAACATTTGGTTGGGTTCCTGGATCTACTTTGACACATTGTCTTGAATGCTCGAGCATGTGAACTGTTTTAACTTGTTTATGGTCTGAGCATATCATTCACGGTGATGTTTATGTAATGCTTGTGCAGTACCTTGGCATTTTACATTTTTCGTTTACATCATTTCTGTGGATTGATTTTTTGTGTTTCCTGATGACAGCATATTGTGTTGTGGCTGTTGAGTCTGTCGGAAGACAGCTTCCTATTGCATTTCTTGAGAGAATTAAGGATGATTTCACCAAGAAATATGGTGGAGGAAAGGCAGCTACATCTATTGCCAACAGTCTGAATAGAGAATTTGGGTAATCTAAATTAGTGTTCCCTTTTTTCTTCTTACTATGTTTGGGTGGATTGGCTACTCTTGGTGGATGTTGTTAACTTATTTGGCACAATTATGACATCGTAGGCCCAAACTGAAGGAGCAAATGCAGTATTGCGTTGATCATCCAGAGGAGATCAACAAGCTTGCAAAGGTAAAAGCGCAGGTATCAGAAGTCAAAGGGGTGATGATGGAAAACATTGAAAAGGTAATTCATTTGTGTGACTGCTCTTATCATCAAAGCTAATGATGTATGATTAAGTTAGGATTTGTAAACCAAGTGTGATTTAGTATTAAACCATTTGTCTTGTCAGGTTCTTGACCGGGGTGAGAAAATTGAGCTTCTGGTGGATAAAACTGAGAATCTTCGGTCTCAGGTATTTACACTACTTTTGGTGATGATTATATAACATGAACCCTAACTCATTATTGAATAGTAGCTGCACATCTTCTTTCTGATTACCTGTTGGAGTTCTCCCAATGCACGAACAAAACTATATTTCCAAATTCTTAATTTTCCTAATGGATAAATTTTCCCCCTCGTTTGGATGATTAAATTCCGGTTAATGGAGAGTTCACTGATTGCAGGGAACTATTTTTTTTTTTTTTAATTCAGAATACCTGTGCTAAAGAAGCGAGTATTCACTGATTGCATCTCAAGCACTAATTCTATTAGGGATTCCTTATTGAGGAACACGAAGATCCCTGCTTGCGGATTACACTAAGTTGATTGTTGTAATATAAACTTTTGCAGGCTCAAGATTTTAGGACACAAGGAACTAAGATGAGAAGAAAAATGTGGCTGCAGAACATGAAGATAAAGTTGATCGTCCTCGGCATCATCATTGCCTTGATCTTAATCATCGTTTTATCAGTATGTGGTGGATTCAAATGCAATTAGAGTCTGTTTGTGTGTTTTGCGTAGGTAGTCGTGGGATGGACTCACTCGCTATTTTTTTCAATTCATCCTTGTTTCTGTGAGATTATTGTTTTGTATAGGTTGTGTTTCTGAATGATTGATTATGTTAGAGAATGAGTTGGATTGTGGGATTGAACTTTATGGAACGACTACAGTCCCGTTGACGGAATGGTTCCGTCAGTGTTGGTTACCGTAGATTATCAACACAACATAATCTATATGTGTATTCAATGGTGAAAAATACTGACGGTATCATTCCGTAACGGGGCCTTAGCATTTTCCTGAACTTTGAGGTGCTGAGTTGAATTATGTATCTGTACTGCGGCTGGGGGAATGGTTTGAATTATTCAA